ATTTATAATATATCAATGCCCGGCAAAGAATGTGGGCCCAAAAAAGTTTACAAAAGGAAGAATGGAATGAATACATGATGGTGACTAATAAAAAAAGGAATGTTTTGTATCCAAAGTTTTAAAAAAACCAAACCAACGGAAAAAAACCCAGAAAACCCCAACCCCAATGGTTACTTGTGTACTGCAAACTGGGCCTCACTTCACTGTAAAGAGGATTGAGAGATGCTCCTTTTCTTCCCAGGTACAAAGGATGCTCTGGGCAGCACCATGCTGGGATGCACGACCATCCCACACTCCCGCCCTGTGGCAAAGTCATCTGAAATGAAGAAGCTAATGGCTCAAAAGGGTGAAAAACTCTCAAAGAGCCTCAAAAGGAAGGCCCCTTCCCTCTCTCCATGCCTGCACCAGCTCTGCAGAGCATTCCCGGGGAAAAGCATCCCCTAGGGAGCGAGTGATGCTGTGAAACAAATCCACGTTGCTGGGAATTTGGAGAAGATAAACTCTGATGTCTCAGGAACGATCTTTCCATCCCTGGCAAAAAGCTGAGTGAAAGGGTGGAAAGGAAGGAAGGTGGCATATCCTGACAAGCTCCTCCAGTTTTTCCAAAGAAATCGGCTCACGGCGGTCAGCCAGTGGCTCTCAGGAACACGAAAAGGAAGGAAAAAGCTTTGCCATGACTGAGAGGAGAAATGCAAATAACCTTCCAGGGAAGAGCTGACAACAGAAAGGATGGTGTAAACATGGTCACTGCCCACAGCGGGAGGAAAATTCCAAGTCAGTCACCAAATCCAGCAAGATTCATTTTATATCACAGCAGCAAAGCAGTTTGGTTGGGAAAAACCCAACCCATAACATCCCCAGGTGTTTGCACACAGGAAGATTTTTTTTTTTTTTTTAGAATATGCTGAGGATGGTCCTTGTGACCAAAGTGATTTGGAATTTTCAGGCGTTCTTGGGTTTGCACAACTCAAGTACTGTAGTGTCTGGTTCTTAAACTGCATTAGAAATTGAGGAAGAAAACAAAAGCCTCTTGCATTTGCTCACACATAGGGTTATGCTTCCAATGCCTCCCGTGAGCGAGTCCTGAATGGAATGAAAACGGCTGCTTCAAGAACTGGAAAAAAAAGAAGTTATTGGAAGCAACCGCGTCAGTCATCATGAGAACAGGATAAATAATGGTGGTTAGAGAGAGGCTGCACGTGGGTGTTGGGTGGAGGGAGGTGCTACCCTACACTGCCCTAAGAAGATGAGCAGGGAAATGCAGTCTCCTCTAAGATGCTCAGCTCTTCATGGCAGGGCTCAACTGCCTCTCCCACCCGACATTCCCAAGAGGCAAGGACCTCCTCGGGGTGGGGGAAAAACTACCTCCAACCCTACCAGCGCCAGGAAGAAGAGGAGAGAATAAGAGGGAGAGAGAGAGAGAGAGAAAGAGAGAGAGAGAGAGAGAGAGAGAGAGAGAGAGAGAGAGGAGGTAGGGAAGCGTGTCCGTCTGTCCGGCGGAGAGAAAATGCCAGCTGTCTCATGAGTGTCCAACAAGCCTTCTCAAGGGCAGGCAGCTCCAGGAGCTGCTGGTGATTCTCACTACAACCCGCACGGAGGACAAAGACATCGCTCATTGGAATACTACTACGTGGAAAGTAAGAAAATTCCTTATTTTCTTTACATAGCTACTATAATAGAACTAAGGAAATATACAGTTGGCAGAATCATTACACAAAAGAGCCCATCACGTTCCCTTCTCCTCAATAAAACGTGCCCTTTCCCCGAAAAATAAACTCTGTCCATCTGCCACAGTTCCTTACGCCTGCAGAAAGCTGCTCACTGCACAAAAGAGTTGAGGAAAAGGAGAGAAAACAACAAAGAACAACAACAACAAAAAAAAAAAACAACAACCCAAGGAAAATCAATGCACAAGCAAGAAAAGTGGGAGGAAAAAAGGTTTAGATGCTATTGCCGTTCAGAAAGGAAACCTGCCAAAGAGAACAGAAATGTCAGTCACACAAACAAAGGCTGCTGGAGGGGTCAGGAAATATCCATATAAAAATTAACAGCAAATTCATCATCTTTGCTATAAAAAACTCTGTTTTTTTCTCAGTTTTTTTGTTAGAAAAGGATCACAACTAAAAACCTTAAATCAAAATACAAATGTTTAGGGTAGTTGCCCAGTGGCTAACGTGTTGGCTTTCTGAAAAACCTCCTAACCTGTCACCTCAAAGTCCTCAAGTTTCAACGTGGCTCCTTTTCCGAAAGCACCTTTTGACATTCCAATTTCCAAATCTGTCCCTAGGAGCTTCCAATGGCTACTGTTAAGAGTACGCATTTATGACATATATTTTTTTGTTTTTCTTCTAGAAATGTATCATAAATATTTTCCTCAATAATCCGTAGGCATCCGGTTTCTAAACTTGGAATACATTTGGAATATACATTATACACATATATATATTTATACCTAACAATTTAAGCAATATCTCATGCTAGTTGCTTTTCATAAAAAGCATTCCAGTCTTAAAATCTGCACTGTGTCTAATACATGCTCAACCAAATTGATAAGCTCAATTCCTAATGTAGAAGAGAGAGAAAACGTTTTAAAATTGGCGGTTAAAAATGGTTGAATTTCAAAGACCCAACAGTATTTGCCACTTTTTTTTTGGCAACTACCTTAATTCTTTTCCTTCTTTTTTTTTTTGTGTGGTTTTTTGTTGTTGTTTTTTTTTTTTTTTTTTTGTTAAACAGCAATGAAAGAAAACAAAACAAATCCAAACTTGTCGACAGTTTTTGGAGACGCTCTGTTCAGTTGATGCCTGCTTCCCACCATCATGCCAGCACAAGCCAAAAAGTCTTCCTTCCTGATGGCAGTTCTTGGCTTTCCCAACCAGAGGAAAAAATATTCAGGAACTGCTGTGTTCTTTGTGGTTTATCTTTTTTTGTGTGGTTTTTTTTTTTTTTTTTTTTTACTTAAGGCATTGTTCCTCAAACTTCAGAAAATCCAGCTGCACCAAATCCATCATTAAAAAAAAAGGCACAAACTCATCTTCAGATGGCTTTGGAGACAATAAAGCCGACTCCATCTGGGCTACCATTTCTCCCTTTCTCCTTCCCTTTCCTTCAGATGTTAAGATGAGTCCCTCGTTCCCTGTCCCTCCCCATTAAAAATACACCATCTCCCGAAGTTCTGGTTCCGACAAGATGTGTCGCTGACTCGCAGGCAAGAGCCATTTCAAAATATCCAAGAAATGAAACTACACGATGGGCCGAGTGGTTCAAGTGGAGATTGCTCAGTTGTGGGTAATCAACTTGTAAGCACCAGTTTTACGTTAAGGTTTGTTTTATTTTCACGCGTGTTGTTGAATCTTTGATTTCTTTGTTTGTTTCGCAACTCTGCCAAAGACTTCCTGGGCGTCGTTCCTCTTTCCACTCCCAGTGAGGACCAGAGGAAGAGTGCCCAACGTGTCAGTCCTTTGCTGCTCTTCACCAGCATTTTTTGTTTGCGGCAAATAGAGACTCAGATAGATACGGAGAGACTGGTTTTGTCGGTTGCTTTGCTTTACACCTGGTTGTCCTTCCGTATTATGGAAATAAGCGTGACAGGACACAGGAGTAACGAGAGAAAGCTTCTTGGCAGAGCTTCAAGACGAAGACGAACAAACAGGAGAACTCCAGCTCGAAGGTGAATGCTACAGGGGAGGTTCCTCTTCCATGGGTTCGTCGTCAGGTCTGAGGGATTTCACAGCCAGGCAGGATGGGAAGGGAGGGAAGAGAGAATAGAGGGGTTGAGCATGAAGAGCTGGACAAATTGTGATGCCTAGTCTCACGCTTTACATTCCCATCACCTTCCCACCCAGGCAGTTGAGATCCGCTGGAATTAAAACTTGCCACCAAGAAGGGGTTTTGGACAGTATGTTTTCACTTAGGCAATGTTAACATGTTATGCAGCAAAATCAGTTTCCTCCGGTAGTCCAAAACCACATTTGGCTCTGGTTGGAGCAGAAGGGTCAGGCACAGGGTGTATACACAGAGCTCATTTCTCTGCTGCTCTCCTGCAGCCCAGGAGGTCTTTCTGGAATCCATGGAGGACAGGGGACGTGGGGAATGCAGCAGCAATGGTTAAAAGGAGAGGTTTAACCCACAGTGCTGCTCCTCCTGCCTGGGCAGACCCTGAGATGTGTCAAGAGATGGGAAGGAAAGCAACTCACCTCTTCTCAGCTGGCTTCACGCCCACTGACAGAGATGCCATGGCCGTTACCGTCTCTGCCTCCTCATTCTCACACTTCTGAGCCTCAACCAGGGAGTATCCCACCGTGGAGGCGTAACGCTGGAGTGAATGCCAATACTTGCCTGAGGTAGAGGTGAAAAGAGAGGCATTAGGGCACCTGCACCGTTCCAGGTCCAGCACCACCCTCTCGCTTTCCCAGAACCAACAGCAGGCTGAGAACTGCCCAGGCAAGACTCATCACACCTATGCAAAATGGGACCTTGATCTGTGCTTGCTCTCACTTCAAGACCCATAGGTGCTCAGGAAATAACAACAGTTCCTTTTTCACTCTGAAACCCTCAGAAAGTTCTAGACCTAAGGACAAATACAGGGGAGGGAAGGATGCAGGCCAGACCTGGACTCCTGCATTCAGCTGCTGACTGTCCCATGCTTTTTGTGGGCAAATCACCTAAGGCTAAAGGAGTCCAAGTTGTATTTAGAATCATTAAGATTGGTAAAGGCCTCTAAGATCATTGAGTCCAAGCTTCAATTTCTTTTTTATGTCAGCAGTTTGTCACCCTTTTTCAGCGGGAAGAACAGAGGAATGGAGTAAATGATGTTCTCCTGGTCCCCAGGCAGGACAAACTGAATTTGCTGGTACCCAAAAAGCCACAGCTAAACCTTAAAGCAAGAACCCAAACAGCGAGGGCAACACATAGGGAGGAGGGGCTTGTTCTCAAGCATCTCCATTTCTCCTGTGCTGGGCAGCAGATCTGAGGGTCTTACTCCAAGCCCCTTTGAAGCCTTGAGCAACCTGATCTAGTGAGGAGGTGTCCCTGCCCAGGGGAGGGGGTTGGGACTAGATGATATGTAAGGTCCATTCCAACCCCTAAATTCTATGATTCTATGATAATCTGCTGTGCTCATTTTAAGAAAGAAACTAAATAGATCACTGGCTGGCTCAAGATGCTGCTGAGGTGTCCCACAGGTCCTGAGCTTCCACTCTGCAGAGCAGCTTCTGGAAATGGAATTCAAATATCTAAAGCCACCTGGCATTTTTAGGGGCGGAAGGAAAATAATCTCTATTTTTACCCTATAAAAGGGAGACAACTCCCCCTTCAATTTCAGACCACAAATGCTTGATGTGGGAGGATGGTGGGATGTGGCGCTGGGATTCCTGTGTGACTCAGGCTCTTGCACTAAGAATTTCCTGAGGAAAGCTTCAATAAAATGATTTTAACCTTCTTGGCTAAATAAACCTAAAGTATCAGCAACTTTCGGCAACAGTCCTAGAATCCCAGAATCTCCTGAGTTGGAAGGGACTCACAAGGATCATCAAGTCCAACACATAACACCCCAACAATCCCATCACGTGCTCAAGAGACTGTTTCACTTTCATGCCTATCTGTTCTTAGTTCATAGGTGACACAACACTCAGTGAGACTTTTGTTATTCTGAGCTACCTGAATTGCTCTTGATGAGATAAAAGAACACTCTAAGTGCAGGATACTTTGTCCTTCACAGAGATTTTACAGGGTTGAATACTAATTAGTGTTGAGTTAAAGGCTGGACACAATGACTTAAAGGTCTTTTCCAACCTAAACCATTCTCTGATTCTATAATTTCTCCACAAGTGCTTAAAACAATTCCGTGAATAAACTGCTCACTGTGCATCACTTGATCTGCTGCTGCCAGCACAGTGAGACAAGTTTGTGGCTGCACAAACTCAGTTCATGGTGCAGTGACCACAAAGAAACTACGACATGGGAACACGGAGCTGCCAGAATGATGGAGAAGTCAAATGAGTGTCCCACTGGGCAGCCCAACAGGGAACCAGCTGGGTCAGTGGGGCTATACTCACTGTGTATCTCGATTACTTTCTCCATGGAATGCACAGCATTAGAGTTTGCTCTCTGCTGGAAAACCTTCTCTGGAAGAGGTTCAAGCTGGAAAAAGAGAGGAACACGGAAGAAATGTTACCAACGAAACACAGAATCCTGGGATGGCTTGTGTTAGAAGGGACCTTAAAGACCATCTCATTCCACCCCTTGCCATGAGCAGGGACACCTTCCACTAGACCAGGTTGCTCCAAGCCCCATCCAACCTGGCCTTGAACACTCCCAGGGATGCAGCAGCCACAGCTCCTCTGGGCAACCTGACCTGTGCCATCACCACCCTCACAGGGAAGAATTTCTTCCCAATATGCCATCTAACCCTGCCCTCTGTCAGTGGGAAGCCATTCCCTGTCCTGTCACTGCAAGTGATACAAAATGCCCTCTCCTTGCTTGACAGCACTTCCTCCTGTTTTCTAAGAGGTATTTTCCTCCTGTCTGATAAAGAGCTCTGTCTGGACCCATCTCAGCCCTGGTAGCCTTCATTCAGCATAGAAAAAGTGAAATCAAACCACAATCTCCTTCGAGATGTTTCTCCAAAGGTGGGTACTGCAGGGCTGTTCTAGTGCCAGAAAACATCAGTAACAACAAGCCTTGGACATCCTATGTCAAGAGCATGGGGTCGGAGCCCTGACAAAGTCTGTTCTGCAGTGGGAACACGCATGTCCAATCCCAGAGAAAGGCTCTGACAGCACTGCTGGAGGGTTGTTTTAGGGTTTATTTGATGTCCTTTAGAAAAACCCAAGAAGAGGAACACACCTTTGACATCCCTGGTTCTCCACTAAAAGCATGAATTCGTCACACAACTCCTAGGCTGGCTAGTCAAGAAACGTCCACAGCTGTTAATTGTGTCTGAAAACAGCAGCCAAGGCCCAACCAGGGATATTCCCCAGCAAAGAGCAGCCACAGTTTAATAGTTAAAAGAAAATTAAACCTATGCAAAGTTTAACTGCAACTTCTGCTCAAAGCCAAGAGAAGCTCCAGACAAGAATACTCTTATGAGCACATGGTAGCCATTCCATAGGTACTTCATGAGCACTAGGGATTGCTGCATTCCAGATTTAGTAATTAGGGACTGCACTTTTAAAATTCTCTGATCTAAAAATACTTCTGGTTCAAACTGGTTTCTGTATGACATTAAGTGAAGGCAAAAGCAATTCCAGGATGAGCCTTTCAGTAAGAGCTTTCTAATGCCTCTTGGCTGAGACCAATAGGAAGCACATTCCTGATTCCATAGCACACTCCTCATCCTGAAACAACACTCACAGGCAACAGGCTCAGCCACTGCACTCCTGGAAAAGGGAGGAAATACCTCTGGGCATTATGCAAAGGTTTTAAGTACCTGCCTATTACCACCTTCTAGTTCATTTGCAATGTTCAGAGTCTAACACTGGACAAACCTCCACTACTTCAGGGTGAAAAACAACAAGGACAAAGCATTTCCAGTTGGGACAGACAACACTATGAGTGCTGCTGAGCTCCAAGACCATGTTCCTCAGCACGTGCTGCTGTCCATATTCCCATGACAACAGCTCTGCCCTCTGCTCCGGATGCTCCAGCATCACTCCCCAGGAACAGACACTTCACCGGTAGCACTTGCCATGGGGCAGAGGTTGGTTTGAAGGGTAAAGGCTGGTAATGCCCAGAATGGAGTGTGCAGCTCCATATGGCTGCTGTGCCCTCCAGCAGGGCTGGCATGCTGCTCTAAGGGACTGCTTTGAGTAACAGGAGAGGAATGGTGGCTTACTGGTCTAAACTGCCATCAGCAGACCACAGAATCATATAATCATGGAATGGTTTGTGTTGGAAGGGACCATCTGGTTCCAATCCCTGCATGGGCAGGGACACCTTCCACTAGACCAGGTTGCTCCAAGTCCCATCCAACCTGTCCTAGAACACTTCCAGGGATGGAGCAGCCACAGCTTCTCTGTGCAAGCTCTGCCAGTGCCTCACCACCCTCACAGGGAGGAATTCCTTCCCAATATTCCTCCCAAATCTCCCTTTCCAGGTTCAGCTTAAGTCCATTCCCCCTTTTCTTGGTGTTCCAGACCTTTGTCCAAAGTTCCTCTCGGCTCTCTTGGAACCTTCTCCAGGCTGAACACCCCCAACTCTCTCGGACGGTACCAAACTCTCTCTCCCTCTATCAAATCCACCTTTGACTTTTCCACTCAAACCCTGTTAGCTTCGCACAATTAGATCTGTCACCACAGCCATGTCCATCCACTCTCAAGCCACCTCGCCCGGCACTGCCTCCATTCTCATTCCTACCCTCAGCTGCACAGCCAAAGCTCTGCTTTAATTTCCTGGCCAGTTGGAAACACGCCGGCTCCTGCTTCTGTGGAATGCTTTTCCCCGTGCGGCAGTTTTGATCTCTGCCGGTGAACGCAGACGCTCTGGGGACTGGCACTGTTCCCCTCATTTCCTACCAGTCCGCGTGTAGCTGCGGCACCGTTCCTGGGCTGGAGAAGCTCTGTGCTGCTCGTCGTGGCTGCAGCTGCCTGTCCATGTGTGTGCGTGCAGGATCCTCCGACAGGCTGTATATCAAACAGCATCAAAGGGCCGCAGGACAAAGCCACAGCCGTTCCCTCCGACTTCCTTGCATTAAAAAAGGTTTTAGAAAAGACCTTGATAAAACTAGTGTTTCCTGCTTTTTGATGTGTGGCTAAGTCAGGGGATATTGTCATGGTATCTGCATAGCCTTACAGCCCACCTAGGACAAGTGAGAACAGGTCTGTCTTTAAGTATTTTGAAGTGCCTTAGAGCTGTGATGAAACAAAATCAGTGTTTTTTAGCTTTAAGAATCAATGTTCATTCAGCTCAATGAGAACACTCAGGCAGCTGACAACACCCAAGCTATCGTGAGTGCAGAGATCTCCACACAGCCTCACACTTCCAAACACATCCATGGCTTGGATCAAGCACTTATTTATGGCATGCAGACCCTCATCTGCATCCTATGAGCATGTCAAGCAGGAGTGCTTGACTGTTATTAGCATTGTTTCCCTTTCAAAGTGTGTCCTGCCACTACAGTCAGCTGCACCCAAAGGTGGATGGAGCCAGAGGAATTGTCTGTGGTGACAACTTGGCTCCAGAGAGATGAGTGCCGCAATAAAAACTCACAGAATCTCAGGCTGGTTTGGGTTGAAGGAACCTTAAAGCTCATCTTGTTCCAACCCTCTGCCACATGCAGGGATACCTTCCACTAGACCAGGTTGCTCCAAACCCTGTCCAGCCTGGCCTCGGACACTTCCAGGGGCAGCCACCGCTTCTCTGGGGTGCTAGTGCCTCACCACTGGAACTCCCCTGGTTTCATGCTGATGTAGCAGCTGGTTCCCATGTTTTCGGCTTTCCTGAAGGCTGAGGACAGGCTGGATCCATTCCCCATGCCAATATCAGAACTGCCTGGCCAAGCACAAGGAGTGGATGCTCCCTGGATACTTGGAGATGGGATGCTGGATCATTCAAGCAGCTGCTTTTGATGAATCCCAGCTGGTTTCTCTCTTGGCCTGGCTAGCGCAGCTTCCCCAGGCGCTGTTGTCTTTAATGCTGAGTGTGGATACTACAAGACAAAGCACTTCTCCAACAGGCTGGAAGTTAAACATAGCTGATCCTCACATCCACGCAGATCCAAGCTCCCTCTTCATCTTCCCACACCTGAGAAAGGCTAATGGTCACTGAACTGCAACCACCCCCAGAAGTCATCTTCCACTGGAGACAGAGCCACTGCTTGCCTTCTCCTTTCTGCGGTGCCGCACCCTGACCCAAAGTAACCAGGTACTCATGCTCAAAACCCTACAAACATGGCACCAGGGGAGGTTTTGGTTGGATATTAGGGAAAATTTCTTCATGGAAAGGGTGGTCAGGCACTGACACAGGCTGCCCAGGGTGCTGGTGGAGTCACCATCCCTGGAGGGATTTAGATGATGTGTAGATGTGGCACTTCTCCCTTAATGCCACTGACACTAAAAGGGGAGGGGAAGAAGAGGCAGAAAAACTAAGGCATCTGAAGTTTGCTCTGTAGGAAAATACCCTGAGCTTCCCAGAATCCAAAACCTCAATTCCTTGGTGTACTTCTCTGCCTTGCTCTTATCTTGCAACCACATCCCCTGACCTTTCTGGCCAATTTCTCTGACACAGCAGAGGCTTTTCCTACACAGTCATGTGCAGAAAAATGGAAAAGATAAGTTAAATGAAAAAAATGTAACTGCAAACAATGTCAACCAAGCTGCCCCACATAGCAGGCACAGGCTGTAGGACCACAGAGTAGAGCAAGGAGAAGGGAAGGCTTGGACAGCAAATTCAGAAGTAAATTAAAATGGTTGATTTCCAAAGGGCAAATTATTTGGCTAAAGAATAAACTCCTAAAAATCAGCTCTCAGCTGTTTCACTCCCTGTAATACAGACTGCCAAGCACAGGTAGTTCGTACTCTTTAAATCAAGAAAAGAAACCAAACAATGAGGCTGCACTTTGAATACTGTGTGCAGTTCTGGGTCCCTCAGTTCAGGAGGGATATTGAAGTGCTGGAGCAGGTCTAGAGAAGAGCAACGAGGCTGGGGAAGGGACTCGAGCACAAGTGCCATGAGGAGAGGCTGAGGGAGCTGGGGTTGTTTAGCCTGGAGAAGAGGAGGCTCAGGGGAGACCTTACCACCCTCTGCAACTCCCTGACAGGAGGTTGGAGTCAGGTGAGGGTTGGTGTCTTCTCCCAGGCAACCAGAGGAGGACAAGAGGGCACAGACTCCAGCTCTGCCAGGGGAGGTTTAGGTTGGATATTAGGAAGAGATTTTGTACAAAGAGAGCAATCAGGCATTGGAATGGGCTGCTCAGGGAGGTGGTGGATTCACCATGCCTGGAGGTTCTGAAGATGAGACTAGATGTGGCACTTAGTGCCATGCTCTAGTAAGCACGGAAGGGCTGGACCTCATGATCTTGGAGGTCTTTTCTAACACAGTGGATTCTATGAATGACAAAAATATGGTGGACTGGCTGTTTTGGAGAAGGAGATGCCCAAACCAAGGCGGGGTGGAGGTTCTGCCGTGTCCGTACCTCATTTCCCAGCAAAGCGGACACACATGCCTCCGAGGCATCGCAGATGGCAGTCAGGTCGTGGCCACCTTCAAGGGCCAGGACTACACGACCCCCGGCCAGGCCCATCAGCTGCTTCGTCAGGTACCCGAAGCCTGTAATGAGGGAACAGAGAATATTCAGGAGAAGGGCAAAGGTTGTGGCTGGAATCAGGCTCCTGGCAAAGGATCAAAGAATTAGAGAAAGGAATTACATCACATTAAAAAACCACACGGGATTTGAAAGGACTTGACGCATAATATGAGCCAGGTTGGGGTTTAATTCACTCGCTGCCACAAGTTCCCATTCCAGACATGGTTCCCTGGGATGGAGCTGTGCATCCCCCATGAGCGCTATGCCGGAGCTTATCCCAGGTGAGAGTACGACCATCTGCCCTGACACCTCTCAGCACCCTGAGTTAGACACTGCAGTGAATATTCCCTTTGGAAGGAGGGAAAGA